AGCTCTGGCCGCCTAGAGGGAGGCAAGTGAGGGGCTCCTGTCCCTGGACACTCAAAAAAGTCCCTGTGTTAAGACAAAGACCTGAGTCCTCAAGTGGCCCTTGCTTGTTGGGCAGCCCTCGGCAGCTGACCGGAGCATCCCCTTGTCCCTCGCTCACAGGCAGTGACTGGCTGCGAGGACTGCCTGGCTGCCCTGCTAGACCACGACGCATTTGTGCTGTGCCGAGACTTCAAGGGCCGCACGCCCATTCACCTGGCCTCCGCCTGTGGCCACACTGCAGTCCTGCGGACCCTGCTGCAGGCTGCCCTGTCCACAGACCCATTGGACGCGGGGGTGGATTACAGCGGCTACTCGCCCATGCACTGGGCCTCCTACACTGGTAAGGGCCTGGTGTCGGGGAGGGCGGTGAGAAGCATGTGGGGTAGAGTGGAGTGGCATGGCATTCAAGAGAGGAGAGCCGGCAGACAGAGGGTACTTACCTGCCTTCTCTCCTCCCCATTGTCCCTTCTCCTCCCGGTGCCCAGGACACGAAGATTGTCTGGAGTTGTTACTTGAACACAGCCCGTTTTCATACCTGGAGGGAAACCCCTTCACTCCTTTGCACTGTGCAGTGTAAGGCCCTTCCTGTGGGTGCCCCAGCTCCCCCTCCAGGGGCGGTGGCCTGGCGTGACGTCATGACAGCCCTCGGGCCTCCGCTTCTCTCGCTGCCTGGTGACCCCTCCAATCTCCCCTCCCCCAGGATTAATAACCAGGACAGCACCACCGAGATGCTGCTGGGAGCTCTGGGTGCCAAGGTGGTGAATAGCCGAGATGCCAAAGGAAGGTGAGTGGTATGGCGCGCAGGAAGGGGCTGGCAGCCCCCGCGTGCCCTCCCTCCTTTCCGGCTCAGACTGAAGAGCCCTCCCTGTTTCCTTCTCTCCGGGACCCCACTCTGCAGGACCCCCCTTCACGCCGCTGCCTTCGCGGACAACGTCTCTGGGCTCCGGATGCTGCTGCAGCATCAAGCCGAGGTGAACGCCACCGACCACACCGGCCGCACGGCGCTCATGACAGCGGCTGAGAACGGGCAGACCGCTGCTGTGGGTGGGTAGGGGTCCCGTGGGAAGCAGCAGCTCCCCGCCCCCGCCCCCATCCCGGGTTTGTGCTGGAAGGGCCAGCCTTTGGGGTGGTGGGGCAGGGGCTTGATGGGGCCGGGACTCAGGTTGCTGGAGGGGTGGCTTTGGAATGTACACTCTGCAGATCAGGGCCAAAGCTGCTGGCCATGGGGTGGGGGGGCGCCGGTGCCAGGCTCTCTGTCGCCTTTCTCCTGCAGAATGTCTGCTGTACCGAGGGAAGGCAGACCTCACTGTGCTGGATGAGAGCAGGAACACGGCCCTCCACTTGGCTTGTAGCAAGGTCCGTACGGCGTAGGGTGGGCTTCATGCCGCAACTGGCCAGCCTGTCTCGCCAGGGGGATAACTCGCGGCCCCATGCCTCCCTGGCCATCATCACAAGCCTCCACTCTCTGCTCCTTCCCCTCAGGGCCATGAGAAGTGTGCCCTTATGATCCTGGCAGAAACCCAAGACCTTGGCCTTATCAATGCCACCAACAGCGCACTACAGATGTGAGTGCCCGGGGCCAGGGCTCCTGGCAGGTGGGAGGCAGGTGGGTGAAGAGAGTCTCTCTGGAGCGCCCTCCGTATGTATTTGTGGTGAAGCCCGCCGGCTTCCGTTTCCCTCGTTTCCCTTCCTGCCCAGGCCACTCCACATCGCTGCCCGGAATGGTCTTGCCTCTGTGGTGCAGGCCTTGCTGAGTCGGGGGGCAACAGTGCTGGCTGTGGATGAAGAAGGTGGGTGGGGTCCAGAGCCCCCCGCCTCTCCTGGGTTTGGGGTCAGGGACATTCTTCAGGAGGTGACTTCTTAACCTTGTTATACTTTTTAGATTTTCTTCCCGAGGGAGCTCCTTAGAGCAGGGACCCAACACTGGGGCCAGGGTCTCTGGGGGTGGGGGTGGGGTGTCTCACAAAACTGGGTGAAGCCAGCAGAGTCCTCAGGAAGACAGCATCCGGTCCTCATCCACCACCCAGCCTCGGGTTCTTGGGCTCCACTCTCCTCCACACTCTGGGAATATGCCTGTGGACATCCCTGCTCCCTCATAGACCCTGAATTCCCACTGCACCACGTGCTTGCTTGCTTAGCTCCCCTCCACAGATAGGGAATCTGGGGCACGGGGGTGGGTGACTGGGGGCCCTGTGCCTCAGTTCCCCGACCTTTGCCCTGCAGGTCACACCCCAGCACTGGCCTGTGCCCCCAACAAAGACGTGGCAGACTGCCTGGCCTTGATTCTTTCCACCATGAAGCCTTTCCCACCCAAGGACGCTGTCAGTCCTTTCAGCTTCAGCCTGCTCAAGAACTGCGGCATCGCAGCAGCCAAGACGGTGGGTGGCTGCGGGGCCCTGCCCCACGGGGCCTCCTGCCCCTACAGCCAGGAGCGGCACGGCGCCATTGGGCTAGATGGCTGCTACTCGGAGTAGCCCCCTCCAGTGCCCCTCTCCCTGCCAGTGGCTTGATATCTTATTCTATTTATTTAGAAAAAGTCTATACATTTAGGGCACTTTAAAGGAGAACACGACTGGGCGGTGGGGGGGGGGCGGCGGATGCAGGGGGGGCACAGAAGCCCTGGGGAGAAGCTGCTCACCCCTTTGCCACACCATCCTGGCCTGGCAGGGGTCTGGGACTGACAGGGAGCGCCCCAGGCCCTTAGTACCCCCCCCCAGGGCAACCCCCTCTGCCAGTGTCCCCAAATGATTGCTAAATGCCTGGCTCCCCTTCTCTTGGACCCCCATCTTTCAGTTCCCCTTTTCTGCTGCCAGCTTCTTCCTTCTGTCCTCTGGCACTCCTCTTGGTGCCCCCTCCCCCTGCCCCTGCTGCCAGGCAGACCCCCCCCCACCCCTTCTTCCATACCCATCACTGCCTCCCTGCTCGGCCGGCCCCTCCATCCCCGCAGCAGTGAGAAGCCTTAATTTCTGGTACTGTGTGAGCACTCTGGGGGTGTCCCCTCCCCCTTCAGGGGCAGCTAGAGCATGAGGGGGGAGGGTATTTAGCACTGGGGCCTGGAGCTTCCCCCCACTTCTCTACCCATCACCCCTTAAGTTCAAATGCAAAACACTTGAAGCAGCAACTACTGTACCTGGGCCCCATCCCGCACTCGCCCTGGCTCCTCATATGCAAATCAAGGGCTGGTTCTGGCCTCACAGCCTGCCCCTCCTGCCCTCCCTCCCCCCAACCTTCTTGGCCTGGCCCCTAACCACGCACTTTAACCTGGCTTCTTTCTTTTAACTTCTTTTGGGAGGGCAGAGCCTGGCCAGCCCCTCCCTGGCTTGTCTCTCCCATGAGTTTGAGGCTTGTCATGAATTTTCAAGTAAGCGTTTTATCCTTCAGGGGGGGGGCAAAAAATCAAATTAATTTCCTGCCCATTTCAAAACCACAGCCCTAGTATGTCCTCTGTGTTTTTGGCATGTGTTTGCATGTGTGTGGAGGGAGGGACTGAGTCCCTCCCTGCGCCCCAGCCCCACCCCGCTACCCCCAGTTCCTCTGTGCCCCTGTCTTCCCCCTCTCGTGCTGTCTAGAGTACCCACTGCCCTCAGCCACTCCTGATCTGAAGCCAAAGACGGTGGCAGGGCAGGGCAGGCTAGGGACCGTGGCTACTCGGGCCCCCGGACTTCCCCTCCAGTGGACGAAGCTCTGGGCGAGGGCGTGGTAAAGACTTATTGCGGGTGCACCCTGCCTCCCGGCCCTGGGGAGAGATGGGACGGAGCCAGGAATGCACCGAGAAAGATTCCTAGAAATTGCACCCCAAAAAGCCAAACTGGGCTGGAGTGAGGAGGAGGGCAGTTTTCTCTCTACATGTAGCATTGAATTTGGCCCCGGTCCCTTCAAATGCTCTGTTCACTCCTCCCCTAGCTCAGCCTCCTGGACAGGTGGGTCCCACTCCCTTCGCCCAATGTTCCCTTCCTCACACTCAATACCTCAGTCAGGGGCCATGACACAGAACTTGAATAGCGGTCCTGCCCCTCCGCCCCCACCGTGCACCCTTGCCCAGGTTGGCTGCCATCAGTATTGTCCCCTGAGAACTGGACAGGCTTCGTTTACACAGTACGTATGGGGGCCTCTCCCTTGGAGACCACCCCACTCTTGGCCTCCGCTCCCTAGCCCTAGCTTGCTTTATTTACACTGTTACCCACTTTCCAGATTGTTCCCTGAAAGTCTTTCAGCCCAGGGATCCCTCCATTCCTCCGTTGGTAGAGCGAGCCCCTCTCCCCAGTTCCCCAGAGTCTGGGGGGTGGGGGGTGTCCAAGTGCTGGTCCTTGGTTCCGTTCTGCTTTTGATGGCCCTCTCTTAACACCTACCCCCCCTCAGGCTGTCTCTCCATCCTGCTTCCCTCAGCCCTCAGTTCCTCAACCATTTCAAAGCTTCCAAGTGACCATTATTGGTGAGAAGGAT